TGAGAATTAAGTCAAATTTGGTCAAAATGACCTAATCACATTTTCAGATTCCTGCTTTAAAAACTACATTTTTATACCTGGATCATCCTGATATCATAAGTGGATCTAGAGATATGACTTCTTTTGTCTTGTTGCTTACATTAATACATTACTGTTTGGTCTGAATCCTAATTTTATGTAAATTTATTGAATAATCTTTGTCAATATAAAGAGGAAACCTCAAATAGTATTTGTATATTAAGATTTCCCAGTTGGAAAGAAACAAAAAGATTGCTAGCTTACAAGGAAAAATTAAAAAAAATTAAGGCGGTTTTCCTCAAACGAAATAAAGAAAATAAAAAAACTATGATTTTACCCACTTATGAAATGTCTCCAAATGCACGGGCTAAAAGAACAAACAAAATGTGGGCCACCGCACTGGCTCCTAGCTTAATCAAAAAGAGTATTTGCATTTCGTGTATTATATTAGTACATTTGGCCCACAGCCCTTGGATAGATTTTCATTTTTTCCCTTTTGAGGGAAACGTTTGGGCACCCCTGATTTAGACCCTAATAAACCGTAAGAGGTCTAATGCGAAAACCTGATTTTACATCAAACTATTTCCTAAAATCCCTGTTCTAATACAGTTCCTGCAGATCCTTAAAAAGTCATAAAAGGCATTGAATTCATCAATCCAAAGATAAGGCCTTAATTAGCCTTAAAATATCTTAAATCAATCGTTCAGAAGTCTTAAAAACTTTAACACATTGGTAACATTAATTTTTTTTATATTTACATGCAGACATTCCCCTTTGACATCACTTCCTGTTACTTAGACGCACATATACAACTGTCCATCTGAGCAACGTGAAATTTGTTTTGTAATATGTTAATAATGTCTTCAAAAGTGCATTCACTTTTCTTACAAATGTTGTCACAGAAACGTAATGTTATGCATGTAACTACTGTTCCCTGAAGGAAAGGAACGAGGTACAACATCATGTATGGGAAACCACGCCCCTGAGTGTTCGGCTGAAGCCACCTCTAATCACGCCTTTAGGCAGTTGACGTGATGACGACAGATGTCAGGCTCCGCCTACACATACTGTATCTATATACTGTCGCCATCACAGTCACTCCTTAGTTCAGTAACTGCTCTTCACCGAGCCCAGCTGTGCAGCGGGGCCACCATGTGTTGTACCTCGTTCCTTTCCTTCAGGGAACAGTAGTTATATGCATAACATTACGTTCCCTTTCAGTCAATTCACTCGGTACAACATCATGTATGGGACATATATAAACGCCCCGCGGATCAGCACCAAACTTGGATCATAATAACATGCTAGTGCAGCACATCAGACCCAGCGGAGAGCACAGAGTGAGCCACCGAGGGGGCTGTCACATCTAAGCAATAAAACTGAACAAATATGTGTGGTGAAGACCAGCTGGCCGCAGCACAGATGTCACTCACAGGTACCCCTTTAAATAGGGCCCAGGATGCTGCTACACCCCTGGTGGAGTGAGCTCTCACACCAGATGGGACTGGGAGGCCCCTGCTGCTGTAAGCTAACGAGATAGCCTCCACAATCCAGTGGGAGAGTCTCTGTCTGGACAGAGCTCTGCCCCTGAGTGGGTTAGCAACACACACAGACAGCTGATCACATGACCTCACCTCCTGTGTGCGGTCAATGTAAACACGCAGTGCACGTAGAGGACGCAAAGAATGTAACCTCCTCTGTTCCTCAGATGCAAAAGGGAGAGGATAAAAACTAGAAAGCTCAATGGACATGGAGCTGTAGTTAGAAGGTATCACCTTAGGGAGATACGCCGAGTTTGGATGAAGCACCACCTTGGAGCCATCAGGTGAAAACTGAATACAGGAGGGATTTACAGACAGAGCATGGAGATCCCCGACCCGTTTAACAGTTGTTAGTGCTAAAAGCAACACAACTTTATATGAAAGGAACTTCAAATCCACAGACTCCAGGGGCTCAAAAGGGGGGTCACAGAGAGCCTCGAGCACCACAGTAAGATCCCAGGTAGGGATACTGGGTTTAATAACAGGCCTCAACCTACGGACCCCCTTCAGAAAACGCACTGCTAAAGGGTGAGCACCTGGCGTAACTCCATCAAAACCCACATGGCAAGCAGGGATAGCTGCCAGGTAGACTTTAATTGTGGAAAAAGCCAGACCTTTATCCAACAGCTCCTGAAGGAATGTTAAAACATCCACCATGGAGCACTGGAACGGGACAATGTGCCTGACCTCACACCACTGCTTGAAAGCGTGCCACTTGTAGGTATATAAACCTCTAGAGGAGGGCGCTCTCGCGTTCTGGATAGTTGCCACCACTGCTGGGGGAAGGCCGCTGGCTAGTAAGCGGGACCTTTCAGCAGGTAGGCGTGCAGCCTCCACAACTCTGGGTGCGAGTGAAATATCTCCCCCCTGCCTGAGAGAGGAGATCTGTATGAAGAGGAAGTTGCCAGGGCTGAGCAGCCAGCAGGCTGATTATCTCGGCGTACCAGGACTTCGCTGGCCAGTGGGGTGCCACCAGAATCAGAGACAGACCCTGTCTGCGTACCCTCTCTAGTACAGGCAGTATCATCTCCACTGGAGGAAATGCAAACAGCAGTACATTGGGCCATGGGTGGGCTAGAGCGTMCACCCCCAGTGGGGCGTTCTGATCCGTTATGGAAAAGAACAGAGGCCAGTGGGTGTTGGCCTCTGTGGCAAAGAGATCCACTGTTGCCCTRCCAAACATGGTCCAAATCTGGTCCACCACTGAGGGGTGCAGCCTCCACTCCCTCACCATAGGTCCGCCCCTGGAGAGTAGATCTGGGC